CGATCATCGGGCCTTGGCACCAATTCCCAAACGTCATTCCGTTTGAATTGGTTTAGCTCCTCTTGCATAGCCAAGGTCCAATGTTCATCGTTTATTGCTTCGGAAATGGTTGTAGGTTCAATTTGAGATACAAAAGCCATGTGTCCTACGGTGTCCCTAAGAGAGTTACGAGTACTTACCCCGCGGTTGATGCTGCCGATTACCTGGTTAAGTGGATGGTTCCTGTGCGTTCTCCAAGCGATGGGAAGCTCGGTTTCCTCTTGTTCCTGGGCTTCCTCTTGTTCTTCTTTGTCTGCTTGGTCTTCACTTTCGACCATCACTTGAGGTGTTTCCTCAGGTTGTGGTTGCGGGTTGGTGTATAATGGTGTGTCTTCTTCATCGTCTTCAAGGTGTACTCTCTTTAATGAATCTGCAAGATCATCACAAATAGCCTTTCTCGCCAAGCTAGTATTATCTTCGGAAAATACAATATGAGGGGACTCCTCAATAGTCAAAGTACGTTTATTAAATACTCTATAGGCCTTGCTGCGAAGAGAATAGCCAAGAAAAATCCCTTCGTCCGACTTGGCATCAAATTTTCCCAAGTTATCTTTGCCGTTATTATGAATAAAACATTTGCAACCAAAGACTCGAAGATGGGCGTTTTCATGAGTATCGGTCGAATGACGGCTCGGTTTAACACGTAGCTCGCGGTACTCACGTCATCCGCCCAAAAATACTTAGGGATTTTTGCCTCATTGATCATAGTTCTAGCCATCTCTTCGAGACATCTATTCTTACGTTCCACCACTCCATTTTGTTGTGGTGTACGTGGGGCTGAGAAGTTATGATCAATGCCAAGTTCGTCACACAAATCTGAGAATAGATTTCGTTCGAACTCTCCCCCATGGTCGCTTCTTATGGCTACTATGGTTGTTTCTTTTTCATTTTGAACTTTCTTTAGAAAATTTTTGAAAACATGAAATGCTTCACTTTTATGAGTAAGAAACAAGGTCCATGTAAACCTAGAGTAGTCATCGACAATCACAAA